TAAACTATATACAACATTAGTAAGTATCAGTAGTGGAATCATAAGCAAGGGAGGAATATTATCTTTTAGTCTCAGCATGTAATATTCCTAGGTATATCCAGCTAGCACTGTTGTCAAAAGATTGGTACATCAAATGAAACTTTGAACTGATCCATTGGGCTTTGCTTATGTTCTGAGAATTGTGGTTCTTAGTGCATAAATAATAGTTTTCTATCTGAAGGAAGCCTTAAATTTTTATGGAGGAAGGGAAAATCTCTTTAGAGGAAGAAGCAGTGGTAGAAAATAAAATAAAACAAAAATATTGGGGGAAAGTGATATTAACACCAGGCAGTAAACTATTCTGATCAAATACCTTTATCTTTGTGGAATAAAATACAAATGTTAATGTAATTTAATGAACAACTTCCAAAATGACTGAGACAAAAAAGTGTGTTTTTAATGTTCTGGATAGTGATACAAACCAGTCAGCTGCTTAAAGCACCCAGCTTTCTATTTTGACACTTTTCTTTTTTTTGCCTGTGGGCAAAAAAGCTCTGTCTTTGAGGGGTTAGACCTCATCAGGCAGTATAGCGGACATAGTGAATCATTCTTGTCTTTCCTAGAGATTCCTACCAGATGCATATTGATATCTATGTCTACATTCCTAAGATACAGAATTTTCATTAATATCTCAAAATCAGCAGAAACATTTTCCGTAATACCCAGGTTAAAACAATGGAAATAATGCAGATATTCTTCAAGTTCTTTTCGAAGATTCCGAGTAATATATTTAAAAAATATAAGACAATATAAGTGGCGATTTGAAGTCAAGCATGATTTTTATAAGTATAATCGTTTTTGTCATTGTACTTAAATACAACATTGGTTTTGACGGACATTTAAAAATAAATTGTCATTCCATTTTTCCTTCACAAAACACCAAGCATCATAACCTCTATAAATCTTTTGTCATTTGCTTTTTTTCTTTTAGCTATGTATTTATGGATAGCAGAACTGGACCTTCTCACAAAGGGTTAAATGATATAGTCTGAGGCTTCTTTGGAATATGGAGCAGGGTTTAAGGTTTTTGGTGGGGGTTATTTTTTCCCACATATGCAATCAGTGAAAGTTAACATTTGCTTCCTGCTCATCTCAGCCCACTAAATTGCCCATTTACTGTTTCTGACTTTGAAGTTAAAGATGACATTCAGCATAAAACAACCGGACCACTTTCTTGATTTTCATGAATCGCCACTAATTATGGTATCCCATACATGACCTATCAAGCCATAAAGGAAGGTTGAAGACTCCCTTCCCAATTTCCTTTGTAGTGTCTGACACAATTCCTCTATCTGCTTAGAATCTACCAAAGATGCTCTCTCTCTGTTACTATGTCTGTCTGTAAATCTTAAATAGTCAACCTTGAACATTAGAACAAGTTGATCTGTATTGCAGAAGCTGAGTTTTAGTGAACATGTTTTGTTCTTTCCTTCCACCCTTATTTTAAGTATCATTTTGATTACTGATTTATGAAAGATCCTTTCACATCTCTTAGCAGCATCTCAAATTTCTAATTTATCAGGGATACACTGAATAGGTCTCATCCACAGGGTTCTTTTACAACAGGTGCAATCCAGCTTCATTCTAATCAGTCCCAGTAGCTTTCTTGATAATCCACCATATGAGCAGAGTATCCCACTTCATTATACAGGTGAGCCAAGTATAACAGGATTAACCTGTGTCTTTGTTCAAGCCAGGAATGGGGGAAGGAAGGGAACTTAGGGTATATTAATCAATTATGTCTGGAAGAGTACTCTTAAAATCACATTCTCTGCAGCTATGTGCAAATGGAATTTACATTTATCACATTCTTAAGAGAGTTGTTGGCCCAAAGGCAGCAACAGCAGAACTTGCAGCAGCCTGCTAATAATTCAGACCCATATCTGAACAGAGAGGAATCGCCTGAATCGAAGCAAATACTGTACTTGCAGGACTCTCTCTCCTTCCTCTTAAAGCTTTCTGAGGTGGTTAAATTATATACAATAAAGGAGGCTATTTAGTAATTCCCTTTAAAAATGGCTTTGATAGAAGTAGGAATGGTAGAGAGAGACAGGCAAGCACTGTTTTTGTCAATTCACCAAACTGCCATGGACAGGCTCCACTGATTTTTCAACATGAAAGGTCAGCTGCTTGCACAGTTACTCTCTCTGCTGTGGTAACATATGCATTATGTTTAGGGTGATTTTCTTTGCCTGTGATGAATATGGATGGGACCCAGCTGTTCAGCTCTACAGAGCATGCATTTTCTAGGGTAGTTCTGTGCTCACCCCTTCAGAAGCAAGGAGCTAGAATCCATATACGAGGTGCTGCCCTATAATGCACAGATGAAAAAACACAGGGAATACCAATTCAATGGCATGGATTTGCCCTAGTAGCTCTTCCCCCAACTCATTGAGCTTCCCCAAATGCCATTATATGACATTATAGCTCTGCCTTCATTGTAGACAATAATCCTGCAGCTAGATGTATCCTAGTCAATTCATCCCATGCTGCCTGCACTGTTAATGCCATGGGGGAGCCCAAGGCTGACCAACGCATTATGAGAAAAAGACTAATAGTTTTCTTTAACAGCAAGCTGTTATTGTCATTTCTTTCCTGTTAGAATTCATGTGTTTTCAGGGGTTGGAACATGAATAGTTTGTGTATAAATGCCAAGCATTCATCAGAATAACATCAACTGAACATATTCTGGAGATGGCAAGAATTTGAAAAAGCCAAATGGCAGATTGGCGTTTTCCTAAAGATGTCAGTAAGTAAAATTAATGTTATATGACCCAGTGGATTTAAAGTTGTGGAAATTATATCAAGATCCAAATTGGAGGGTTTTTCCCACATGGACTAAAAAAGTGTTTGGCTGCCCTCTAGTGGATGCCTTGGCTGGTATTAGAAACAGCATGGCTGGTGCTCCTCCCTCCACATTTTCATGCTTTCAAGGTTCCATCCTGCTATTTGGTTAACACAAGGAAAACTTGTTGAACTGCCTGCTCTCCTAGTCAAAAATATAATGGGCATCTGAAGAGGCAACAGATGCTTTTTGTCACCTGATCAATTTCATCATCTGATTTTCACAGCCCATTCCCCCCTGCCCTTTAAATCACATTTTAAATCTTCTAGAATATAAATTTGGGCTCTTATAGGGTAATAACTTTTGCACCTAGGCTATCTCTGGGCAGCCCACTTTACCACACAGATAGTTGAAAATTAATCCAAATTAGTTAGAAAGAACATAAACTGAAAGTTATTTATATTCCCTCCCAATCAAGCCAATCCCATTTCCCTGAAATATAATGACAGGAGGGGAAAGGATTACAAAGATATTCCTTGATAAAAGAAGGCAGAGCCAAATCTAACGGCTTTGGGATTTGTATACACATGTAGCAACTGAGCAAATGCCACTGAAATTTTGCTTGACTTGATCAGAGATGATCTGAAAAGTGCAGCTGCCAACTTGCCATAGGACTAGGTGTTTTCATCAAACTATGAAACACGAATGCATAAAACTTATCCTCTGACCTTTAAGCAGAAATATAAATTAACTAAGATAGCATTAATACTTTGTAGGGACATTCAGTTTAATTAATATTTTTGCCCCTGAGGCACAGCATCAGAATAACTGACCAATGCATGCTGGGTACTCATCTGTAAAGTCACCACACAAATAAAGGTGGTTGTAAGGAAAATCACACCCTTTATGAAATTTGCCATTCAAGCAGACTGCTTATGACTCTGAATGAAGAAGTTTCTATCCGCAAGCTATTAAAATTATAGGAAAACCTCACTAAATTGCAGAATTTCTTATCGAACTTCAGTGAGAGTTTAAACCTTCTTTCAAATGGCAAAGTAGCCCATCAAAAGAAGGAGGTTAGCTTTCTTTCCCTTGACATCAACTGTCAGGATGTCAAGAAGACTGTCAAGATGTTGAGAAGAGGAAGTCAAAAATGTCTAGATGTCAAGAAGAGGATTCAAACGTGCTCACCTATATCCCCACATCTTTCTTAGAAGACTTTAGTGCCTTGCCTAAGGCCTAGATCATTTTTCATATGATGAAAAATAAAAGTGCTTCCTCCCTCCTGATGGTCATTAATCCATCCATTATAGCAATGATCCAAGAGTTGCAGAAGGCAGAATAAAACATATCAAGGCAAACACCGGCTTATGTCTGTAAACAACTTATTTTAGAACGCTGCCTTCGGAATCAAGAGAAAGTTTTCAGGGACATCTTTTGTTTTAAAGAAACTACATAACAACTGATTCTTATACTTTAAGTGGGATCAGAATGATTAACTTGCAACTCCCCCTCTATGGCATTTAATGGGTGTGGTAGATTATCCAGAAGAACTCTTCAGAAACATCCTACTGTATGTCATATAGATGCTCCTTTGTAACTGGAAATGGCACAGCAAGCAGGCAAAGTATTATATGTAAAAATGACAGGTTCATAGTCTTTCACCCCATGTAAAATAGCAAGACCTTTCAGAGCTTTGCTTATTTAATTATACCACCGAAGACAAAACCTTTGAATTAGTTAAACTTAAATCATATTTGTAGGCAAATTTAACCACCTCATAGAGAGTATTTGGCAATTAACTGAAGAAATGTCAAAATTTTTCCCCATAAGGGCATGTTGCTATTTGTTTTCAGCACTTTGTCTTGCACTGTTTCCCAGTATTCTTTCTATTTTGAGTGGGAGAATGAAATAACAATTGAACAGGTATATCCTGCTACTTTATTCCTATTTATTGGAGATGAGGGAAAATACAGAATAGGGACTCACCTGGGGAAGGAATTGTATAATACAATAAAGGCAGTGCATGTAAGAGGCTGGTTGTAGGGTCTGTAAAAGACTCCTGACTGAACTACAACTGGAGGAACTGAAGACCTAACTCACTATAAGGATTTTTTAAATATTCCTCTCTGGACAGAGACCACTTGGATTCACAATCATTGAAGCTCTGAATCAGTATATATTCAAACCTGCTCTTTTTTTAATGGTCTTTTGCCTTTTTAATGAAAGAGATTTAAGGATGCTTACATAATAGATTTGTACAACTTCTAATTCACTGTGAAGGAGGGAGCATGACAATATATATTAACTAACATTTCAGACATCATAGATTACAAACATAGTACAAATATACCAAAATGCCATATAACTAAATAATTGAAACCAATAAAAACAATGGTAATAATAAACAGGTGCCTTTTTCAGACTAATTCACTTCTGAACTAATGACGACTTTTAAAAAAACAGTACCAAGTTGAACAATTATTTAAAGGCCACCTTAAAAAAAACAATAGAAGTAGCAAATATTTTAAGGATTACAAATGTAAGGATATTTCCAACGAAGGATAGCACCATCAGCACTCACACTCACAACTAATTTATTGTTAGGACAGATCTTCAGGCGGGTGATGCTGCCGCTATGACCAATCCCAACAGAAAGCACTTCACCTTCATTATAATCCCACACTTTTACTAGATGGTCATCACCTCCTGTGGTATAAAGAAGAGAGAAGACTATGTAAAACTGTCACCACTCTGCTTAGTAGCAGGCATAGAACTATAGTTAGCAGCAAGATACGGTAGAGAAAGTTTCAGTTTTGGTCTCCTATCAGCCAATGGTGTTTCCTTTGGATGGTCTCCATTCCATGTTCTATTTGCTGTGAGAAGGAGAGACTATCAGTAGGGGGAGAAATAAAATATATTCAAAATGATTGATTTAAAAAAAACAAAAACCTTACCAGTCACAAAATACAATCCATCCGTTGTAATATCCATTCCGTTGATAGAACCAGAAAGGGAGCCCTCTAATTCTCTGATTGGTGCCCCATCAAACACTTCCCAGTAACCAATCTAGAATCCAGAATAAACATGAATAAAGGAAGGTCATGCAACACTACTTTTCTACCATTATGAATTACAGTAAATGGTGTCATGCAACTAGGTGTGATTTATTGTTACGTATTCAAATTTATTATAGCCACCCAACTTGGATTGCAGCAGAATACAAAATGAATGAATGAATGAATCCTGTAGTCTCATGTTCTTACCTTTCTATCTGTGCCACTTGTGATAAGCTGATGTTCATCAGGGTGATAGCATACACATTTGAATAAAGTATTGGCCAATATCATCTGCCTTCTCATGAAGTGGCTAGGGGGGAAAAATCAGCTTCTGAAATTACATTTAACTAAATACCCTGGCCTTAGGAGCTGCTCTACTATTTTTGCCTCAGCCCAAGAGAAAAAATCCCCAAACAATTCCTAATATAAAAATGACTAATCTAGAAGCCAAATAGAGTTAGCCTTCATTAGTATTTGAATGGGGAGGACCCTTTGGAAAGCCACAGCTGTCCCCTAATATAAGAAATTGAACAAATATTTAGGAACACAGCAAAAACATGCTGCTTCTCTATCTGCATGGAAACATTCAGGAATCAATTTTAATCCAAAGCAACTTTGTATTTACTACTGATCTGTGATGAAGGAAATAATCAAGTTTCTAAATTTCTAATACATATGAAAGCATAAGGACTGTCTATTTTTGACACACCATATAAGTCTGGCCTCTGTCTATGATCCAATTATCCATTCTATGGAAAAGGAATTTAACTCAGTAGTATAACTGAGCCAGACTTCTATGCAAAAGTGATCTTACACAAGATCCCAGATAATGCATGTCCCATCAGTGCTGGCTGTGACACACTCCTGATTATTCTTCTTTATCTTGATGCAAGAAATAGCAGATATGTGTTCTTTCATTACTTCTTCTAGCTTGCGTGTTTCCTTCCCAACTTCCCATACTCTCACCTAATAGAAACATTATTTAGCATTCATAGCCAAAATGAAATTGAAGGATCTTGCAATTCATAGTTTTTGATATTTGTGGATTATAACTTGTGGTACATAAATATAAATCAATTATTGTCATAACATTAATTTATATCTCTCACCCCCTTTTAACAAAAATGCTATACTTGGTTTTTATTCATGTGACCAACCCATTGCTGTTTTTTAATTGTAGCGGAAATATGAAACATAGAAATATGTTTAATAATAGTCCCTACCCAGGTTGTATCTAGCATGGCTGAATTATCATTTAATATTATATTAAAAGCAGAAAGACATACATGTTGATGAAGTCTGCAAGGCACATCATGTTTGGGGATTCTTTACCTGACCCTCACCACCTCCACTGATTATTCTTTTGCAGTCACTTGTGGTAGCCACAGCTGTCACACCCATACTATGAGCATGCTCGATCACGTATATCAACCGCCCAGTTTCTGGGGTGAAGGCACGGATTTTTCCATCATTCCAAGCTAACACAAAATAAAAGGAGTTTACTCAGAGCAATATCTCTCTTCTTTTTCTCCTTCCTAAAGTAAGATCTCTGTAACTCAGTGGTCAGTACAGCTGATTGTTCAATCTCAAGAGCAGGTAACTTGAAGAACCTACTCCTTTTAAGAAAAATATGTAGATGACGGATAAAGCATATTTTATCTCTTATCATAGGGTGAGCCTCAGCAATTTCTATTTAAGTGAACAAGGCTGCATAGTATAAGCCAGCAGGAATTAAGCAGTTCATGATGCCAAATTATAAAATTGAGAATTACAGTTCAATTTAGTAGTTCATCCCTATCCTGCAACCTTACCTTCTCCTAATGCAGCCAAACCATTTTGTAGTACTCTTAAGAACTTAGCAAATGCTGGATTGGCCTTAATAATTTTGGTTAGTGACAGAATGACTACTTAAAACAGAAGAATTCATGATTGATACAGTCCTTCAATAAGCCAGACATTCTAAAATGCTTTCACCTGAAATGATGCTTTTGCCATCCCGCATGAAATCTATGGCATGACAAGTCATGTTGTGGACAGTAATCCGTAGCAGCTCCTTATTTTCAGGTGTATACCATACACGGATATCATTCTTGGAACATGTGGCAAACAAGTCAGATGTACCACTATAGGGTGAAAATAATAAAACAGATCTGACTATTGCTGCTTCTACACTTAACAATTTACTATTGAATCTCAATAACTAAATTACAACAGACCAAAATTACAAGAGAGCCACTGGATTTTTACCTGATTTTTACCCAGAATTTTTGAAACTTCAAGAAACTTGAAAAGTTTGATTCTAGCTAAAATATGAGTTTCAAAATCATACATAAAGCAATTGAGAACTGTATATTAGCTACTTTAAAACTGCTTTAATTTGAGGAATGAAATCTGGTTCCTTTTAGCATATTAAAAACCAAAGAATACTCTCATAATTTAGAAATTAATAACAAGGTAAATGTCACAAATTTTGATCCTTACCCCTGGAAGGCAAAGGATACGGTACTGTTTGCTTTTTGAAGTTGTCCTGATCAGGAAACAGCTAGAACTGTACTTTAATGAGTTAGAATACAATAATGTTGCAAATTAAACACACATTTCTCCTTCCTCTTATTCCATAGGAAGCCAGTGAGAAGCCAGACTGAGTCTCTGCCTAATACTTTCTCTTGTCCAGGATTCAAGGCACCCTTCTGCATATTTTCTGAATAGTTTCACCCATGTCACTTCAGGGCTCCCTCCAGGAAATGCAGCAGTAACGTCCGGTGAGGTTTATGGCTGGTGAGGCACTAACAAAGTGGTGGGTTTCAATTTTTTTTAGAATTGTGGACTTCAACTCCCAGAATTCCACAGCCAGGCATGCTCAGTTCCGATTTAAAGCAACAGCATTTGTTTTTCTCCTTTCCAAAAGAAGTTTCCTTCTTTCTTTTTCTTCTCCCTTCCCCTCCTTCCTCTCGCTCGCTCTCCCTCCCTCCCCCTCTCTCAAACACACACACACACACACACACACACACACACACACACACACACACACACACACACACAGAAGTTGGATTGGACTATCTCTCCTACCCCCTTCCCTCTCTCACTCACTCTCTCTCAAACAAACAAAACACACACAGAGACAAAGTTGGATTGGAGGGAGAGCACCAGTGAGAGCACTTTCCCCCAGCCCTGGAAGGATCCAGCCCAACTTCACTGATTACAGGTTTGAAAAGGCAACGTGGCTCTGCCTGCAATCAAACTACACTTGGGGAGGGAGAGCACAAGCGAGTCAGAGTCCTTCCCTCCAGCCTTTGCCCAAAGCCCCGCACCAGGAGGATAAAGTTTGAATTCCTCCCCCTCCCTCCGACCCATACATATCTTTTCCAGCTGCTTCAAAGAGGACTTTTGATCCTTACCCCTGGAAGGCAAAGGGTCCTCTGAAGAAGCCCCACCCAAATGAGTGTCCTCTACTATGAGGCAGGAGAACTTTGTGCCTCACCTATGTCAGGAATTTTTAGGCTTTTAACCCTTGTTTAACTCTGCTCGAATAATCACAAAACACCTAAAGTCAGACTAGATGAGGCACACAATTCTCCTGCCTCATAGTAGAGGGCACTTTTTAGAGGCTTTTTTAAACAGTTAAGCAGAGTCATCCACGGTGAGGCAGCAACTAGTTCAGCCTGACCTCAGCTCTCGCCTTTTTCCTTTTACATTTTTTTTCTTTTCATGATGGGAGTGGCGCGGCTATGCCTCCCCTGCCTCACCTGACTGCACGTCACCCAAATGCAGTAGTATCTGCCTTTGCTGAAATACAGCTTTGAAGTTGGTTGCAGAACAGACAATCCCTTTGAAGTTGGTTCAAAGACAATCCCTCTAATTCTAATATTCATGGACTGAAAGCGTCTTTCAGTTTCAGTATTGCTAGGAAACCCAGGTTTGAAGGCACAGTAATTCTCTCTTCACCACAGTTATCTGATCGATCTTCCTAACTCCTTTTAGTTTAATAAATGTTTTCAATCTTAGCTTTGAATCAAGCAGCCTTCATTGGTATACAGTATATTCCAATTCATACATTCATACTTACTGTGCCATTCACTTTTTGTCTGGGGCCCATCCCAGAACCGAGATTTCCAGTCTAATGAAGGATTTCCCCTCCCTTCCATTCAGTGGGAGAAAATACTTCATTTGGCAGTAGGGACAGAGTCAAAATCCTGAAGAGTGGGGAAAGTGGAGGGGAAATCCTTTGCTAGGCTGCAGAAATAAACTCTCCTGGGCCTTCCCTATTCTCCAAGGCATACCCTGCTCTTTACCTGGTACTCCATCTTCTTAACAACCCAGGAGATCACTTAATGACACCTATGGAAGTGCTGGGATTGCAGTTGTTGAGTGAAGTGGCCACATGGGTGTCTTGCTTAATGATCACTTCACCAAATGACTTGAGATTCTAGTCCTAATTGTGGCCATAAGTTGATGACTACTTGTATCAATAAATAAATGACAGCCAATGGAGCAGATTTCAGCTATTTGTGAGCTTTTTTTTTTTTGTCAACTGATCCAATCTGGCTCAAGAATGATTTAATCAAGATGATTTAATCAATGGCAAGCAGAACTTATCTATAAAATAGTGCAGTTCTACCTGTTCTACCTTATTTACTTATTTATTTACTTATTTATTTACTTATTTATTTACTTATTTATTTACTTATTTATTTATTTGCAATTTCTATAGCCACCGAACTCCACCAAGTGACTCTGGGCGGCTTACAATTCTAAAAATATATAACAATTAAAACAAATCAGAAACATTAAAACAATAAAAGCATCCACAAAATAAGTAAGTCCAAACTACAGCTGTAAGAATCATCCACATCCTTTTTTAAAAAATGAGGAAATTTAATATTTTGATCTAAATAATAATTTGGAAAGATACATCCCAAATTATTTTGGGGATCATGCCAGACCAAAAAAAAAATATTGTCACACAATTGTGAATAGAATCTATAATCGTGTGAAGTATATGTCAAATTTTACATAAAGTAAGAAAACAGAAGCATACTGATGATTCAAAATGTTTGAAATCAAGAAGTAAGTAAGACAGATTTAAAGGGAGTTTTATCAAATAAGACCAGCAAAATGTGTCTTTTTTACACTCAAGTTATTTTTCCATTTCTTCATCATCCACTATATTTCTTTTTATATCACCTTACTTTTTAATAAAACATACTTAGGGTTCTGAGCTCCTATTTGATTCCACGAATATCAGGAGGGATTGGGGAGAAATCACCAATCGTATATGTGAAGACTATTTCTGGATTTTTAAGTAAATATACTTATATTTCTCCTGGGAAAATGATTTTATTTTCTTTCTTACCCACATCAGTTCAAATATCATCAAAATAAATGTGAAAGATTAGTTCTGAATATTTTACTGGCAGAATTTATGTGAATAGATACAAAAAGCAGAATACTGTAACCATTGAAAAAATGGAAAAACTACAAAAGCATCAGACAATATAACAAATTCTATAGTTTGCTCTGCTTCTTGCATCTTCCAAATAGCTAGTGTCTCCAAATGACTAAAGTTCACTAACTAGTTAATTCCAATTATTATTATTTATTATTTTTCTTATAAATTAGGGGAAGGATTAATTAACACATGCTTACCCTCCTAAATAGAAAACTATTACAACCACTATACAAAGTCTTTTCCATTTGAACGGGAGAGAAAAATTATTTGACTTATACTTACTATGGGAAAATTATATCATTGATAGCATCATTATGGCAAGTGGCTATGAGCTCATCCTTAAAGTCAGAATATGAGAATCGGTAAATCTGTGACTCATTTGTGCCCACAAAAAATTGGTGGCCCTGGCCTCGTGGTGTGATGGACGTAATAGCACCTTCCAACTGAACTTTTCTGTAAAACAAAATGAAAGATTTGCACAAAAGGTAAATGGGTTTCTGACAGCTCAATCTTCCTTAGCTTTAGGGTTTTTTTTATTTTCCCAACTTTTCTCCCTTCAATGATAGCGAATTTTAGCAATCTCAGTAATCCAGAAATATTTTAGCAATAGCCAATAACACTTAGTCTTATATACTGCTTCATAGTGCTTTTACACACAGTGCTCTCTAAGCAGTTTACATAGTCAGCATATCACCCCCAACAATCTGGATCCTCATTTTACCGACTTCAGAAGGATGGAAGATTGAGTCACCCTTGAACCAGTCAGGAACGAACTGCTGGAAGTGGGCAGAGTTAGCTGCAATCCTGCATTCTAACCACTGCACCAAAAACGCTCTTACTTTTAAATCTAAAGGTTAGAGTATAATTATCGTGTGGATTTTTTCCTGTTTTATTAATATTATTTCATGAATTAAAAAAGAATTTTGACTTCTCAGGAAAGAACTGCTAATATTTTAAATAATCTATTCACGGAGATTGCTTTATTTATTGCACAATTAGCATCCGTGCATGTTAAATTGGTACTTCAGCGATGAATTTTTGAGCTGAAAGACATCACATTAAATTAGCAATTATAGCATGCTGTGCTCTTTGGCATATTTTTTGCCCTGCATGTCTCCAAAATTGCAGTCTTCTGTTGTTGAAGAATGTTCTAGGTACCCTGGGAAAGATCAAGCTTTCCTTTCCCCCAGATAGATAAATCTAAAGTATTTCATCTTAGACCCTATGGCACCCATACCTTACCGTTCCAACATCAACAAAAGCATAAAGGAAGTGGAACTAAAATGTGCTTTAGATCCCACAAATCTCTGACTTGGAGCACGGAAAGAGAATGTATGTTATCCCTGAAGCTACTGTGCACAATTTCCCTAGAAGGAACTTAAAAAAAAAAATCGAGAAGGAAGCAGAATGCCATTCTTCTCTCTGTTTGTATGTCAGCATAAGCCTATCAAGGGTTTGGATAAGGTGGCTCATATACCTAGAGATCTCTCCATGGACTCAAAACAACCCGTTCTCTTCACTGTATGAACCTTGTACATAATGATATCCTCGTCCAAGAAAATTCAGAAACTCACTTGATTATTTTATATTTGGATCCTGAGCAAAGGGCTAAGATTCCAGCTCCAGTGCCAATGACCAAGTCACCCACTTTCAGCAAAAGCAAAGCTGTAACTCCCTAAGAAAAGGCAAGATGAAGACATTATTTAGATGCTAAACAAATCACCGAATTTATATATATTGATAGCTTAATTCAATATAGTATTCCTCTTGCTCACCAAGATGGCATGTAAGCAAATGAGTTTATATTTGATCAGTAATCCTCTATCGAATCTATTGAGATCAGCTGTTTTGTTATCTTGCTATACAAATATGTCATACAAAAGATCAGTCATTCCCTAAAGCTAAGCATATATATACTTCATGTCAAATGTTATGCATCTGTGGCTATTCTCTAAGACAAATTTAATTTAACAGTCCTGAACAGTAATCATTTTACTTAGTTACAAACTGAGGCTGAAGCACAGTGACCTAATGGTTAGTCAATAAGGAGTGAATTTTCATGAGTACCAATCTAGTTTATCCTTCAGATGGATGAATAGACATATTTCTGCAATATTTATGTCACCTTCAATTATGTTCAAGCTTATGTACAGAAATCACTTAAAATAAAAATTTATAAACCAAGAGTGAATAAGCACACACATAATAGCATTAAGTCATCTTACAAGGAGATAAAGATATCAAATAGAGAAAGATGTTTAGAACTTTATTTTTAATGCACTATTAACTTTTATGACACATAGATTCACACAACCTATAAAAACCTAATAAATACAATGGATTCTTTCAAATGGCAATTTTACACTAGTGGAAAGCATTTTACTTGTGCATAATGAAACATTTGCTTTTTATCAATGCCACACTCCTCCAAAGTTCTGTGGAGGGTCAGGTATCAGGAAATTTTTGAAAGCTATAATAGACAAAAGTATTAAGTATAAGTATAATCTTTATTGTCATTGTACTTAAATACAACAAAATTGGTTAACATTAACATTCTGTTTTAAGCTTTCTGATGTCACCACAATCACTATAGAATAAAACTTTCTATCAATTCATACAAATACAAAACTTAGTTCAAACAAAATAAAAATTGGAGCCAATAAATGTTTTTAGGAGAGGAAATAGTCCATAAGTGATGCTAAAATTATGGAGGCCCTATTCCCGTTTCCCATTGAATTTCCCATGGATGGCAAAAGCCCATGGAGAGAAACTACTGGGAAACCAATGTACAGCCAGGCTGAGAAAACATGTGGATTTTTAAATGTTTAGATTTCAAATTGTATGAACAGGTAAGTTTTCAATCTAGACCTGGCAAGATTGTTCTAATCAGTTGCCCCAACTAGGTCAGAAGTTTCTGGACAATTGTCCAAAAAGGAGTCCTAACTTTAACTTGCATAAAATATCTTAACAGAAGTTAGCTGTAGCCAGTCTATATCCAAAAGAGGCTGTAGCTGGCAAAAGATACTTTGCTGGATCTTCAGTACCATCTAAATTTTCGAGGGCTCACAGTTTGCAGAATTTTAAAGGGAGCATGATTGATTCAAAAGAAGTTGAACTTCAATCTCTTGAATGGCCCTCTTACCCAAATACTTCCATCTTATTTTAGCTTCGATTTAATGGCCGCAGTTCTAGCCACTGATTCAACCATTTCACTAAATTAGATGTATAAATCTGACAGAGTGCATAAAGAAAATAACAAAGGAGAGGTAAAGTTCATGGAATACTCCTGCATGTGTCCATTAGTTCTTGTAAAAATGGCTTTATTAGTCTTTCTCAAACTAGTATGCTTCAAATGTGAATTATATGTCCACCAAGCCCAAACACTTTGTCCCTACTAGCTTTAGAGTGGCGAAAATTACAAGCCAATAGAATGTAAGTTTGAACATGACTGATTTCATATTGTGACTTGCATCTCCAAATAGGCATTGCACAGGTTCTAGAAGTTTGTGAGTAAAGATAGCCATGCTATATTATCATTTGTCTGTGCACAATTTCAGATGTAGCATTTTTATTTGATAACGTATGTACAAGTTGCAACAAGACACTAACAACATTATCTTTTATTACCTTTTGGAAATGAATTTGTGAATCATGAAAAAAGGCAGACAATAATGACAGAAGTCCATTATAGCTATTTACATAAAGATTGTTGTCATTATATGCTTTTAAAAATAATTTCCCAAATCAGTTTAATCAATTTATCTCAGTACTTGTGTCTGAGTTGCATCCAATTATCCTTTCCAGAGCTGTCTTAGCAAATAGCACTACAATGAGCTTCCTTCCTTCCTGATGTCTTGATTTTTTTTGATAGATACTATTTTCAGCGACAGAATTCCTTCACTATCCACAAATTTAGCAAACTACATAAACCTATATCAGTAAAGCTCCATGCTTCTAGCTGAACTGAATAGCTTTCAGTTTTTTACAACTACATTTAACACTTTTACCCAGCCTATTTCATCATCATCTACTCCATTATATTGCAAGGGACCACCTATAACGGCACTGCATCATCAATAGGATGCCTGTAAAGGATGATCTCTTTAAAATTCTGCTATGGAAATGCCCTTTTAAAATGAACAGATGTTCATGTTCATATGAGGTTACACTCATTAGGGTGGAAGTCAGCTTTTGTGCTAATTGTCTGATGAGGAATGCTCTTTTCCTTCAGCAATTATCCAGCAGCAGGATTATCTTTGAACACAAAGTTTTCTTAGGGGGATCAAGCATGCTTTAGAAATCTCTAAGCTATCAACTGCCCATCCACCCTGTCTCAATTCACTGCAGCACAGGAGTCAGATGAGTTTGAAATATCTTCACAGCTTTGCCATGTAACAGGTGATAAACTAAGAAGATCTCTATTGACAGATTTTGACTACATTTCTAGATACAGCCTTAACTGCCCTAGGCACACCAATTTTAAATAACTTGGATTCAAGGTTTTTTTATTCCATCAAAAATATAGTGATCATTTTTTCCAATAAAATCTACTGCCAAAAGATTAATTTCAAGGTTGTTCTATACATCACTGCTAATAGATAGGCAGCTATATAGTCTATAATGCTGAGAATGCTCAGCAACTTATAGCAATGATGCAGTGCTTTGCTTTCTACTTTATTATGTCCCTTGTGAGTTAAATATAAAGGCTGCTGGAAGGTTTAACATTTATTTTATTATTTACCTGTTACACAAAGAAATCCTAGTTTTGATTGCAAAGGACATCTTCCAAGGCAAAATGAAACTCACTTATTTCCCTACAGGAAATATAAGCTCTGCATCCCATATTCTAATTACTTTCACTCAAGTGGTTTAACATAATGTAAACATCTCCATAAACCTCTTTTCATAGCAAACAATCATTTCCCTTCTGTGGGAATAACTAAGGTAAGTAATCAGCATTTAAAGGAGCTTTATTTTACTGATTTCAAGAAGATTTTAATGATCACAAGATTTACAGTACACTGAAAAGTAATTTAAAGGGTGTAATTTCAAGAGATGTATTACATGTCTCTACATTCTGCATTTACCCTTTGAACTAAGCTATGTTTCCTTAACCATGCTTTGTTGAATAAGGCAAAAGCTTATTATCAATGTTTGTTTGGCCAATTCTTCATTTGTCTTTTTTTTCTTTTTAGCTGTTACTGTTTCAGAGTTCTATAAAAACTTGACATAAAACCAGACCAGGAATAAGTCAAGAAATTATAAGTAAACCATATGTCTCTCAACACTAAGCCACAATTATACTCTATAAACCCAAAACAATCTTGATTCTATCTTCCACTAATGTAATGACAGAATCCCAATGATTTTAATAAAAGTGGATTATATTGAGTATTAGGGGTGCAAAAGAAATCCATTATGCATTTGAATGGCTTTTGTTATCTCACATGTGTTCTTTCAATAATAGAGGAAAATGTGCAGCTCACAGTCAAATGTCTATAATTTTTAGGCATTTGGAATTTATATAATGAACTCTGCCAACTCTAGAAGTGTATAGTTTGAAATAACCAATTACATTAATTCCTTAGTGATATTTCTCCATGTCTAAACCAGCAGCTGAACATTATATAATATATTCCACACCTTTACAAAAATTCACTTATTTATATCAATGTTGTGTTATGTAATACTGCATATGAGTTCATGGATTGATTTGCATCACTTTTCACACCTTCAAATCTTTTCCTGTTGCTTCTTATAAAAATTGCAGATAAAATTCAACATTCATCTCCTACCAATGGTTTTTTAGATCCACTGAAACATAATATTATCTGAGGAGTAGAGCATAATGAATGACCACTAATTTGTCCATCTCTTTGCAGAGATCAAAACATCCATATAAGAATTATGATTGAGCAATTTCAATCATTTTTTGCATTGAAAACATAGCCTTTGGGGGAACAAAGTCACTTATTTTCCTTTCATTTGTTTCTTTCAGTGTATATTGGTGCCGTTCCTCATACTAAAAATAAGTTGGAACAGCTATGAAAATAACACGGAATAGATGAATAACAAATTTAAAAAGCCAATTTAAATTTCTCCTCATCTAGTGCTTGTTATTTTGATAGAAGGAGGGTCAGTTATACAGTAAAGCTGAAGAGTTTTTTTTAGTATTTCATTCCCTGATTTACTTCTTTAAAATAGGTCTTCTGTCTGTAATGATTTGAACTAATGTGTCTTGGGTTTTTAATTCTGTGGAAACCAGGCAAGAAATATTAAAAAATAATTTGAAAGTTGTGTGTAGAGAATTGTGTTTTCTCATGGAGCTCAGCTGTGATATTCTGTTCTTTTTCTCTTCTATACTTCAATAAGCTATATTAATCAATCTCAAATATACATGAATTGACTCCAGAGGATACTCTGTACTATCCATGTGCTGTATATATTCATAGGTTGCATATGCTGGACTATTCAGAAAATATGTTAATGACTCACCCTATTACAAACATGTATTACAGTTGTACTTGCATCCTTAATGATTAGCTTCTAAGGTCAAGAATCATCATCTGCCTTCATAATTAAGATACTGTCCAAGGGTTAAAGTTTGTACAAATTATATAAAGATTTAACAGTAAATACAAGATCTAATCTATCATCATTAGCCAGTTGTATTAC